AATCATACTGTGAGGATGTTAACCCTGTGGTGCTCTGAAATGTGTCCAAAGCAGGGCCCCATTCCCTGCTGTCCCTCACACGCAGCTGCTCAGGGTCCAGTGCTCTCCTCCTCTTGCCTCTTAAAAGAGTAAGCACCCCTGAGGATGCTGCTTGCAAGCTGAACTGTAGCATTGAAGGAAAAGGATCGCTCTCCACTGCACAAAAGCAGTAAGAATGAGAGGATTCCTGGTACAGCAGGAAAGCCAAGATGTCCCTGGAGTAATTCCAAACTCTTGCAGGCTGATGTATTTTTACAGCATCACAGAAACATGAGATCTTATTTTTCAAGAGTCCTGATTATAGGTTAGTGCCTTTTGTGCTTTCTTTGTGCTTTCTTTTAGATATGAATTTTTTAAGAAGTATTGTAACTCACCTGTTCCTGAGATTTGTGTGTGCCAACCAACACTTTTTGTTGGCATATAAGTTTAAAGCACCATTTTTCTCTGTATTGAATTTAATTTTTAGATGGCTGAAATAGATTTAGAAGTGTATTTGTTGAGCAATGTTTTGGATCAAGTACCATTTTTTTGCTGTTTAACCATCATAACAAACATATACTCAGCAAACATTCTGAATAAAATTCCATTGTATGGAATTGTCCTCAGCTGTGAATTACATTTTTCATGGCAGATTTACTCCTCTGACAGAGAAAATTCAATATGTAGCTGCATTTCTATTACAGATACAGTCTTCTGCTAGCCAACAGATAAGCTTTTTATCAGCAGCCATGCTTCTGTGGCACTCTTCTGGGCTGCTGCCAAGCTTTGCCGTCCTTCCTTTCATGAGCAGACCAATGTGCAAATATTTGAAAACCCTATAATATAATAGTTACTTGAATGCATGCTCAAAAAACCCTCCAAAAAACCCAACAACACCAAACAAAATCAATTTCAAAACTCTTACACCTACATAATGTACCTAATGCAAATCTACAAAACCAAGGAGCACATTTGCCATTTCCAAAGCTCCCTGACCCACGGACTATATAGATCAGCTTTTCCTCTGAGCCACAGTGGAAGTCTGCCTTCTTATCCTCTTTGCCACATCACCCCTCAAACATACAGTGTCAGCTCCAAATGGAGCCAGTAATGTTGGGAAGACAAGTCTGGGTAAAGAACATGATGAAGAATAAGCACAGGAGAGATTACACTTTTTATTATGCATAGGAGCAATGCTGAGGTGTGTGGGGTGTACAGCCACTGGTTAGAATCCAGCCTAAAATTCAGAGATGGGCAGCAGGTGCGGTTGTGTTGTCTACTGTGGTTGCTGAGGGCAATTGAGCACCCTGCATTTTTAACAAGAAGGCATTTTTAACAAGGCACTGGAACTCTTCAGCTCACACTGCCACACAAGCTGCTGGCTTTAGCCCAAGCACATTTTATCTTCTCTACTCTTGTGAACTATTTCTCTGTTCTTCTTGCGTTGGAATAAGCACCTGTGGAGATAAAGATCCTTTTTCTTCCCTGTTGCCCTTCAGATGAGAGGATGTGTGCTTGGAGTGATGCCCATTAGCAGAAGTGATGTTGGAATACTGGAATAAAAAAATTCTCCACAGAGAAACAGCAGTAAAAGAAGAAAACTGAAAAAAGTGAAGTGACCTTGGTGGACAGCTATTGAAGGAAAAAATAAAAGAGCAAAGAAAGAAAGAAAACTACCAGGAAATGGTTAATGTGTGAGGGCAATATAAAATATGAAAAAGTACAAGAAAAGTAAGGGGAAGTCAACAAAAATGTCACAACAAGCAGAATGAGAAGGCATAAGCAATAAAGCAAGAGAGGAAAGATTAATCAAATCCCTCCTTACTGCAGGGTTGTACTACACATTGCCTTATGTTTTTTTAAGTGTAAATCTATAAATAAACCTCATTGGCTTTTATTCCCCCATTGTGGGGATATAAAAGATGCTAATAACTTCTTACAAAGGGTAAATAGTTTAAGGGGATGATACTGGTGATACTGAAGTATTAAACTGAAGATCAAAGCTAGGACTGCCAGTATAGGATCTTCAGGTTATCCATACACTGCTACAGCTCTAACAGATTAAAGACTTATTTGAACATAAAAAGATGAAAAATCGTAGGGATCATTGCCATTATAATAATGCCTTGATTACAAAACTTAGTAAAGGCCCAATTCTTTCAGGCTCAGACCAAATAGTTCTTTATTAATAGCTTCATTAAAGTTAATGGGATCATCTTGGTGGGGTGTGTTTCTCATCAAAAGTAAGGATTTCCAAGGTCAGTCTGCTCAAGCTCAGTGACATTTTTCAAGTCTTAGACCAGTTTCCATTCTGACCCCTGGAGTAGTAAGGGTTACAGTGATGTTTTGACTGTTCACTTCCATCAGCAGCAGCACAGTTATACAGAGAAGTACTTTTCATAAGGAGAAGAATCTGTCCTGTGCAACCTAAAATCATCAGAGCACTGAATATTGTTAAAGTGGGTGCTACTTCCAGCAGCAGTCTCTGATGCCATGGGGATGAAAGTTTCTGCATTGAAACTCTACCACTCCTTGGCAACAAGGGCTGTTCTGGGACCAGTAGGACAGGTAAACAAGTGAAGCTCTCCCTGCTCTCAAAGCCATAGCTCTCTTGGGCATTAACATTTCAGGCTCACTCAGAAGGTTAAAAAAGACCCTGAATGATGTAAAAGTCACACCACAGAACAGAGAAGAACAGATCACCTTTTTAAGCTCCATTTCAAATGTCACCTACTATAGTGATATGCTCTCAGGTGAAGTCAGGTTTAGGGAGAGAAGAAAATTTGTGTTTGAAAGAGAATGTGCTTCTGAGATGGTTTATTTCTTGCCATTTCCCATGTCAAGTGCCAACGATTCTAGGATTTTACATAAACTCTAGAGTAGGATTGGAAATGGATATGTAAAATTCAGTGTATTAGAACTCTGGAAATTGCAAGCCCCAGCTAAAAAGCAGCTATAAAAGGTAGCTGGTCAGGTTTGGTGTTCATACATTTCCACCATTTACCTGTCTGTTCATTTTTTCTTTGATGTCTCAGACCTGATGCTACTATTATGCATGTTATGACAACTGTCACCTTCCACACAGGACAGGTAAAGAAAGAAGGCAAAAGTCCAAGAAAAAGCTACCATGCCTTCATAATTACCTTTAGGATTATGGCTTGAAGATAGACTTGTAATATGTGACTTGGATTCCCCTATAGGTCTGGAAGAAACCTTTAGAGTACATCCACTCTCACTGCTGACAGATGGTAGAGCAGAGAACAGCCACTATAAAGATAACAGTATTTCACCCACGGGTTTTTCTTACTATGTAGTAGCATAAGGTAGCTGTGAAATCAGTGGTGTTTCAGAACACTTCTTGCAGTACTGAGGTTTCTGGCTGGAGGTAGCCCAAACACACATTCAGTCTAGGAACTCTCAATCTCAGCACAGAGGTCACATAAAAGAAGATACCTAGGCAAATGACAGGCAGGTTTATGTGGGTCATGGCTGTTTCTACTATGTGCCAGAGGCCAAACTTATGGCTTTTCACCCTGAAATGGGGAACTACAAAGCTTTAAAACCCTTGGGGATTTTTTCCCCTCAGCTTGTCATGAGAGTGGCTAGGCGAGATACAAAAAGGAACTCCAGAGAGGAAAGACTGAAAAAAAATATTGAAGCTTTAATATATTCCTACTCTCTGACCCCATTCCTCCTTTGCTGTGCATCAACCATTTTAACAATCTGGCAAAAGCAAACCCTGAAACTAGAAAACCCTTTCCTAAACAGTGTCACAAACCTCTTGTCATTTACTGAGAAATGTTATGATGTTTTAATATGTTATCTCTTCTTCTCTTTTATTTTCTTTTTAAATTTTTCATTCAATACCACTTAGTTCCTCATTTTTAAAATAGCTGTTCTGAAAAGACCAGTTTGCATTTTAAAACAAACAAATGATTAGGATCTGCTTATAGAATTGAGCATATTAATATGGTAGTGGCTGTTAAACAAGACTGATGAATAACAATAATAAAAATCAGTGAAATCACTTACATATAATCTCTTGATTATGAAATAAACCACTGCTACATCCACACTAAGCATATGTAAACAAAACATGGGGGATTTGCCGCTGCTGGTTTCTTTCTCCTAAGGATGGTTATTTTCAGTTCATAAACTCTCAGCTGTCATCCCTGATTTATCTTCGCAGCTGATTCTTGTTGGGGTCACAGGGCTGGGAGCTGGGGCAATGTGGCACATCCCCCGCCCGCTGTGCTCTGCCGCCCCTGCCAGCCACAGCGTTCTTAGCTGGGGTTCGTGTTTCCCTTTTAAACCCTTTCTCATCCCTCCCTCTGTCAGTGCCTGACATTTTGTGCATCTTGCTTGTTCTCCAGCATGGTGAGAGCCGTGTGAAGGAGAGGTACGAGCTTAGTTTGTGGTGAGCATCCTCCTCTCATTCGGGGACGGGAGAGAGGGCTACTAGAGATAAAGAAACCCCGCCTGCGTTCAATCTGCTACCCAAACAATGTCTTTATTTAAACATATGAAGACATCGCTGTGTAGAGGTCCTTTAAAAAATGTTTTAGCCTTTCCCAGCCGTAGAGAGAGCGACCACTTTATTTGCTGGAAAGGGCTCTTCCCGCCCCTTCCTACTCCTGCCCTGCCTCCGCCCCCCGCCTCCCTTCCCCGTATATTATTACTCTATGCCACCAACGTTAAAACAGTCCCACCGCGCTCCGTGCCCGCGCCACGGCCGGCGGGCAGCCGTTCCCTGGCCCCGAGCAGCCCGCGGCTCCCCCTGCGCCGGCCCGCCCGAGCGGAGCTGTCTGTGCGCGGCAGGTGCTGAACCGCGCGGGGCAGCGGCGGCCGGAGCCCTCCCGGCCTCGCCCCGGCGCCGGGAGCGGAGGGAGGCGGCGGAGGGGGCGCCGCAGGGGATGGGGGGAGCCGGCGGTGACCCTGCGCCGCCCGCCTGAGGAGCCCGCGCACAAAGCCGCGCCGCGGCCATGGAAGAGGAGCTGAAGTGCCCGGTGTGCGGCTCGCTGTTCCGGGAGCCCATCATCCTGCCGTGCTCGCACAATGTCTGTTTGCCCTGCGCCCGCACCATCGCCGTGCAGACCCCGGAGAGCGAGCAGCACCTGCCGCCCCTGCTCCACTCTCGGGGCCCCGCGCCGTCCCCCGCCGCCGCGCCGGGAACGGGGCCGGGAGCGGCCGCGGGCTCCGCCGCCTGCCTGGACTCGGAGAGCGCGGCGGGAGGCGGCGGCGGGGACCACGCGGACAAGCTGAGCCTGCACAGCGAGACCGACAGCGGCTACGGCTCCTACACCCCCAGCCTGAAGTCCCCCAATGGCGTGCGGGTGCTGCCGCTGGTGCCCGCGCCCCCAGGGGCGGCGGCGGCTCCGCGGGGCGCCGGCCCCGCCAGCTCCTCCCTCACCTGCCCGCAGTGCCACCGGAGCGCGTCCCTGGACCAGCGCGGGCTCCGCGGCTTCCAGCGCAACCGGCTGCTGGAGGCCATTGTGCAGCGCTACCAGCAGGGCCGCGCCGCCGCCGCCGCCGCCGCCAAGTGCCAGCTGTGCGACCGCAGCCCGCCCGAGCCGGCCGCCGTGCTGTGCGAGCAGTGCGAGGTGCTGTACTGCGCCGCATGCCAGCTCCGCTGCCACCCGGCCCGCGGGCCCTTCGCCAAGCACCGCCTGGCCCCGCCGCCAGCACACCCGGGCGCCCCCGGCGGCGGCGGGGACGGCGCCGGGAAGGGGGCGGGCGGCGGCCGCAAGCTGCCGACGTGCGCCGAGCACGACCTGGAGAACTACAGCATGTACTGCGTGAGCTGCCGCAGCCCCGTCTGCTACCAGTGCTTAGAGGAGGGCAAGCACAACAAGCACGACGTGAAGGCCCTGGGAGCCATGTGGAAGCAGCACAAGGTGAGTCCCGACAGCCCGCTGGGAGCTGGGGTGATGCCCAGAGCTGGAGTGATGCTCAGCACTGTGGTTTGTTCATCCCAAAGCCCCAAAAACGAGTTGCAGTTTGTGGGACATGAGGTCCTTCATGTCCATCATCCTCACAGACTTTTCTCTCCTCAGAATGGTACTCTTAGGTTTTTGGCCCTTCCTGACTTCCCACTGACCCCGCAGCTGCTGCTCAGGGTTGGAAAACTCAGACTCTCTCTCATGTTGGCCTCACCTTGACCGGTGAGGTTCCATCAGGTCTCAGGCAGATAGCTGGAATTAGCAAGTCCATCTCACCAACTTGTTTGCCTTCCACAGGGTCCTTGGCCATCCTGTCCTCAGCCTTCCCATGCTCTCACAGTGGCAGCAGCTACCTGTGAGGAGACAGGGTGGTTGTTCCTTCTTTTCACCACCTCCCTTTCATCCAGGACTCTGTGCAAGCTGCCACAACTGTATGTCAATAAGGGAGAGTGGCTCACAGCCACCCAAATGTTGTAGACAATAAAGTGTGGTACAGATGATCATGGACACTGGGTGTTCTCCTGGGCCTTAAAGAGGTCTCCTCCCACTTTGTTCCCAAAGAAGCCAAGAAAAGTAATGGCTGGAGGGATTTTCATGATACAAAGATAAATAAGGAATTGTAGATGGGGACTAGGGACAAGTAAAGTTTTTTCTGATTCACATATTGTCACTGTCTGAATCATGCTTCCCTGCAAGTGATGCTCCCTACCCCTCCCTGGATTCCTTTGTGGAGACATCAGAGCCATTTGCTTGGCTACACAGGGGTTTAGTGAGGTCTGATAGAGCTGGTGGGTAACTTGGTCATGCTTTCCTTGCTAAAAATAAGGCTTTGAAACCATGTGAATAAAGAGCAAGATGAGGCCTTAGAAGTTGAAAATATGTATGAAGTTAGTTCTTTCTTGCTAAGAATGATGGACCCTGGAAAAATTATTAGTTCATACATATGATATTAGAGAGGAGACTTCAATACCTGAGAGCTGAGGACAATCCTTTGGAGCTTCCTGCTGTATTGGGGTTAAAGGACTTCTCCCACAGCTATGCAAAGAGCACTTGACCAGCTCTGCTGGCTGCAGGATTCCCTTCTTTTTAGTCTCTGCTTGCAGTTAGCAGTAAAGAAAGCACAGAGAGATCCTTTCAGACACTGCAAGAAAGGTCAAAATCAAGACTGGTCTCATCACCCCTCGGCCATGGAGTGGTTGAGCACAAGATAGGCTGGGGTATTTGGCAAGACAAAAAAATTACTTTCTATTTTAAGATCCAAAGAAGATGCCGCTTGGGGTGATCTCCTTTGTTGATCCATCCAAGAAGACAAACTTCTTCTGGAAGTGTTTCAGTTTGAATGTTACGCCAGCAGCTCAGCCATCATTGCTCCCTAACACGATGAGTACTTGTGCAGAGAAGTTCTCTTGCAGATTAAACATTTGCAGCTGCTGTTCGTATCCCAGTGTCAGAATCCACTCCTGAGCAGAAGTGTTCTGATGAGCAGGATCAGAGTTCACAGTTCAAATGTGGCTGATGTTTTGGAGGGCATGAGAGACCAGCTTGTGATGTACTATGGTCTACCTTAAGCTAAAACTATTTGATGCCTTTTGCAACATTACAGTCCAGTGTAATCAAAGTTCAGAATTAGTAATTTTTTCTCTTTTCTACTGTCAAATATTGAAAAAAACCTTTTTGGCTGGTATTTTTACCACATTTTTTTCTGTGACTGATTTTTCTCTTATTTGCATATTCAATCAATGTCAAAATTCTAGTGAAAAGAAACCCTCAAAATTAAGTAATGTGGGGACTCTGAAATTATGCTCTTGTGAATATTATATTTTTCAGAAAAATGTGCTTGGCACAAAATAAATATAATGGAACTGTATAGCCAGGCAACATAAATCATCATCTCACATTCATTCAGATAAATTGTTTTGGAATTAGATACTTCTGCTTAGAAATAGTTCTCTGATACAGCAATTTCTACAAGTTTATAACCTGCAGTTACTTTGGCCAAACCATAAATTACTTACATTGACTGGTATGCCAAACTTAATTTAAGGCTTATGTGTTCTCTCCAGATGCTCTGGGTATAGCTACTAGAGGCAGCTGAAAGGTTTGTTCTTAGACCAAGAAGCCTTCCTTGTGTTAGCCCTTTGTTTGGCTTCTCCTTTGTCTGGGCCTTATTACAGTGACCTAGTGGCAAATTGCAGAGTGTAAAACCTTGTCCAGGCAGTGCTGCAGGCCATGCAAAGAAATGTGCATTCACCCTCAGCTGTACTGCTGATACCAAAGCTGTACTGGACTGGTTGGCCCCTGTTAGTGGTGCAGGTTCCCCATTGCACTGCTGTGTGTAACTTCTCCTACAAAGTAAAATTGGTGTAAAATGACAACAAGGCTCCAATGGCACAAATCTATGAAAATCCTCTGGTTTAGCTGGACTTCAATGAGATTCAACTTAGATTCTCTTGCCTAAAAAGTGCATCTGACCAGCAGTTCAAGGTTATTAAAAAAACCTCATGTCTTAGCAAGTACAGTGGTACTGTAATCACATTTATGAATATGAGGAATGATGGGGGACACATTTCAGCTCTGCCCATTCTAAAGGGTTAATTATACGTATGTACCAAAATACTGAAAACTCCCACATCTGGATCCGTCTGTGAAGGGCAGGCAGGCAAGTGTAGGAGTCCTCATGCCTGCTTTTATTTCCTGATCTAAAGACTTTTGTTCTCAAAAACATGTGGGCTCTATGAGAATTCAACACCAGGACAAGCTTATCTAATCAATAGTCAATCTGCTGCTAAAGAGAGATGGAGGGAAGACAAGCTAAATGAGCATGAACTGTTTGGTTGACAAAGGACATGGCCATTATCTGGTTCATTTTCTGAAATCAGAGGTCTTCCCTGCCCATCTGGGTTCAATTACTTACCCTTGTGATCTCTGTGTTCCTGTAATTGGTGGAAATAGAAACTTGGTATCCATCTCCAGCCCTCAGATCATAGGTTGCAAGACCAGGTATTAAAGTAAGGATAACACCAGGTGGAATACTGTTTGTCAGAAGTTATTAATTGTCCCAGTCAATGGATCTTGTTACTTTGGCTTACAATAAATATTTCTGTGGTATGAAAGACTGCTCTGGGTGTACTGGGCATTTTTATGGCTTGGTTGGTTTACTGGGGGCTTAGTCATGTAGCTCCACTTGATTTTAATGAGAAGTGCATGACTAAATTCCTCTGATTTGCAAGGTATCTTTTACAAATACTTGGAAAAACAAAGCTATTATCTCTAAGTGGGTTTCACAAATGGAAATCTGGTCTTCTACTTATGCTGCAGTCAAGTTAATGCAACCACGTGTTTTAATGAACAGATCAATTTGCTTATGAGCCCTTTAGACAGTGACATGGTTGAGTTTCTGTTGCAGCTCTCTGTGATGGGAGGGTGCCAGGAGCCAGGAGTGACTGTGCCGATTGCCATTGGTATATATGCTGCTTACAATTCATCTGTGGTGGTTTTCTACAGCTGCTGTGATGCCCACACACTGCTTTTGTCTCTTCTGATCTGGTGAAATACACTTTGAGATTATTTGAAAGCTGGTGAAGATGTTGGGAAAGTGGAAGTTTTACTTTTGTTGGGACCAACCATTGGTTTTGATTTGAAAGAAAGGAACCCTTGCCTCCCTGAGACAGTTTGGTTAGGACAGTCAGTGACAGAAAATATAATGCTTCTGCCATCTATTTCTTTCTTGCTTACACCCCAGCTGCTTTGTCATGTGCTGCTTTCACCTTATTCTGTGTCATCTTGACAAATCAAAGGCTCAGACGTGCCCTGTGAGTGGAACAGAAAGTATGATCAAAAAAGGTGGGTTTCAAACTTTGGTAAACATGATCAGCCTGTGCAGAGCTGACCTCAAGTCCTGATTGTCTGATCTCGCAGAAAACAGATTTTTTTTCATCTACCTGGAGTTTGCTTCTATGGCCTCCCATGGTGTTAATATCAAACATCATCATTTCAGGATTTTGTGCATTTACAGGTTTGTGTACGAAATACAGGGTTTGTGTATGAAAAGAGCAGAGATTCAAACATTGAGAAAGAGGCACAGTAATCTATCTTTCCATTTGGTATAAATGAATTTTGTAAAGCATATTCTCATTTAGTTTTTAGCACTAATGTGCTTTCAAGGGGCCACTTTCCAGCCTCTTGTTCCCCCGTCTTACATACGTCCAGGGTTGCTCCATCCCAGCTGCAGAACCTCGCAATGACGTTCTTTGAGTACACTTAGTGAATCCTATTGGGACTCCTAGACTTAAAGGGATCCATCTAGAGTAGCAAATCCTGCACAAATTTGGGGTTGACTGGGAGTTAATCATTCTCACAGTCATGGTCCTCCAGCTCAGAGCACTGGGACCCCAAAATGCATCACTGGGTCTGCCAGGGGCAAAACCACTGTTTCCTTCCTGTCCTGGAAGTCCATCAACAAGACTTTGGTTCAGCTCAGAGATCTCAGGTGTTAGCTGAGGAAAGGGAAGGTTAGGCCTAGAGTGTGGACTTAAAAAAGACATATTCTATGTGCCTTACTGGTCAAAATTAGAGGAAGGGTTTATTCCAACTTTTGCAGAAACATTCACACATTTGTTAAGTTGGAGCATGAGAAACTGGAGCCCAAAGGGACATTACTATGAAGTCTGAGAAGGCAGATTTGTCTTTAAAGTCCTAGTGTATCTCAGGTTTGGTAGGATCTACCACATTTATAAAGATTTCAGACTTGGATGCAAAAGAAGTGTCATTTTGGAAAGAACTTGGGGATTTTTCAGCATGACAGATGCTACCGTGTAAGTGTAAGACTACTACCTCCTTATACACGTGGGTAGCTCTTTTATATAAAGGTGTTTGACTTACCAAGTTGCTGCAATAAAGTGGAACATGCAGACACAATACTTGACTGCCCCCACATGCATATTTCACCCACATTAAATCTGATTACAGTAAAAATCTTAACTATTTTTTCCTAGCAGAAACACTTTGTGGAATTAGGAATACACGTAAGCCTTTTAGCACATTATTAGTGATCAAATCCAAGGATTACTAAGAAAGACATTTGCATTTTATCACTAACTTTTTCTTTTTTCTCCTCCTTTTTTCTCCCTTGCAGGCACAGCTGTCTCAGGCTTTAAATGGTGTTTCAGATAAAGCAAAGGAAGCAAAAGAATTTTTGGTTCAGCTGAAAAATTTATTGCAGCAGATCCAGGTAACTGTAGAATATAATCTGTTTTGATAATACAGTAATCAATAGAACTGCGTGAATAATTTATTTGATGACTTTCTTTCCTATGCTATTCTCATCTTTCCTGCAATCATCTGACCTTTCTTGAATGGTAAAATTGTTCATCAAATAATGCCCGTAAGCCCCTCTTCGCTTCTAGATTGTTTGATGTTTGTTGCAAAAAGCTGATACTCAATACTGGACATCTGAGCTGTGTCGATTAGTGTTTGATTGAATCCATTAGTCATGCTTCTAGGCTCCTCCCTGACTGCAATTGCTTGAATTAGGCATTTAGGATAAATTCTCATTTTAACACATTCAAAATTTACTGCTAGCTTTTCATCTTACATTTCCTAAAAATGCACTAATTTCTGCAAAAAATCCAGTCAGCCTGCCTATTAGAGTACTTGTAAGAATGTCCTACACATACCCAAAAATACAGGAATATTCTACTAAAAAAAAAAAAGGAACTGCTGCTAAATCAATGTGTCGGTTATTGGAGCGTAAGTTATTTTCATGCCTGTAATTGTCCAGATTTAATAGTCAGAAAAAGAGCTCATAGTGAGTGCAGTAATTGAGGGCACAAACCCAAAATGAAACAAGCCTTAATTTCAATCAAATTTAGACTCATCAGTGCTAGAGGTCAGATGGTCCTCAAGGTCCTTCTCACCCTGCGGAGTGTACCTGGAAATGTGCCACTCTAGTTTGAGCTGCACAGTGTTCAGGAGGGGACACTTGTTGTGCTTGACAGTGATGGGATATGCATCACCTGCTCTTCAGTAGCCCACTCTGCTGCTTGCTCATCTTTCATCAATAAGTCCTGCGCTTGTTAGTAACAAAAAACCAAAGCAGAAATACAAAAAGTTTGTTATTTATTCATTGAAGTATTCATCTTAAAACTCCAGAGGATGAATTTGTACCACAAGAGATGCCCAAGCTCTTGGGTTGCCTCAGGACAGCCTAACAACACACCCTCACAGTCTTCCACAGCCACCTGGGGAAGGGAACACACCAAAATGAGAAACTGGTAAAATTAAAGGACATTTAACTGAAAGAAACTGATGCAAAGCCACTGACTGGCACTTGCAGTGTGCTGTATTTTGGCTGTAGTGTGAGGTCTCTCTCAGCTGGCTTACCCGTTTAATAAGTTATGTAGTCTACTCATTCCACTGTCCCAGGAGAAAAGACAGGCACCTCTAGAGAGCATTTCTTCTTGTAGGAATGAACAGCTATTTTAGGATGGGATAACCTATCCAAAACAGTAGGCTATCACCAATCTTTCCTGAGTCATCTAGCTCCATTACAAATGTATTTTTCCCTCCTGAAACCTAGAAGTGGCCTGTTATGACCGTTTATGACTATGCTGTAAAATCCTTTAATGTGTTTCAGAAAAATCACTGCCAAATTGCTCTGCATAAGGGAGCTGCTACAATTGGATCAAAAGACCAAGCCATTTATTTGATGCTGTTTGTTGCTTAAAATGCTAGAGGAGAGCTCAGAAGAGGAAATTATATCCAGCAGTACCCTCTAACATTTAGCCAAGTCTGGGCACAAGTCTGAATCTGACCCTCAAATGTTGAGCCAATCTTCGTCCTGAGCCTGAGTGAAACATCAAATTTCAGCAAACCAAAAAAGCAGGACTAATCAGCTGCATATTATCTGATCATCTTGGATCAAGCTGATCATCTTGGAGCCATGCCCCAGTCTTGTTTTACTTTTCCTAAGTAAAACAAGGTTGGGGTAGGGCTCCAAGATGATCACCCACACAATTTAACCCTTAAGGAGCTCCCTGGAATGGTTGTCTCCTGTGACAAATTGCACTCTTCTCATGCGATGTTTGAGCTTTGATGATAGCACATACCAGGGAATGCTCCTGGTAGTCAGGTTTGGTACAGCCACACTCTTCGAGGGGAAAGGGTTTAGATGTATCATGAGCCAGTCTGTGCCTTTTGACAGTTGGACAAAAAACAGTTCTTGTACTATTATTTTGTGGGGGAACAGATATAGCCTTTGTGCATAGGTTTATAGCCAGACATATGTATCTCAGAGCAGGTTATTTAGAGTAGAAATCTTATGACGGCTGCCACACTCGCATATGGACATTTAGCCCTCAGCAAAAATGTATTTTTGTAATACTTTTACAAAAAGGAGCAAGCAATACGTAGATTTTATTATCCTGTCTCAATGCACTGCAGACCAGGCATCCATCCACACTCTTTATCTCCTCTCTTAAGTTTTCCAGAGCTACCAGGAACCGCAATTTCATCTTACCTGGGACAGTTTGCAAATTAGTCATTTATTTTTCTTTTCTCTGCTTTGCAGGTCTGTTGTTTCCCCATCTTTTTTCCTGCCTTTCTCTTCTCTGAGGTCACTTTTATATCTCTTAGTTGTTTCTTTTCAGATACTGCCTGTTCCTCATTACTCGTGTTGCTTGCTTCTCCTTGTTGCTGTCATGATCTGATTTTCCTATTTTCCCATCTGCTGTAACAATTTCATACTTTCTCACTTGAAGGAGGCATATCGCCAAACACCCCATTTGATGTGTGAGCAGAAAATGAGGAGAGAAGTGGTGTACTACAGCCACCAACTGATTCAGGCTCTGTGCACAACCAGCACTTCAGGAGTAACTTCAGGGATGGAAATGGGCTTGAGGGGGAGCTGGGTGTGACACGAGCCGAGGAGGGAGAGATGCAAACAGGAGGAGTCTAAGACAAACCTGTGAGCAGGAACTGAGCCGTCTGGTATCTCCCCAGCCCCAGATCTGGTATCTCCCCTGCCCACATCTCGCTGGCAGGTCCAGGACTGCAGTGGGGGCTCCTCAGGGAACACTGACCCTGCATCCATCAGCTGGAGAATGGGATGCACGGGTCACAGTGAGGGAAGGGAGTACAGTGCTGAACATTTTGAACTCAAAATAAAGAAGACAAAGCAAATGAATAGGAAATAAGAGGAAAGCAAAAGAGCTAAGAGAGAGTAATGAGTTAAGGGAGTAAAATGTCTTAGCAAAGAGGTGTTTCTCCTTCAGTACATGCTTAAAATCTTCTCACATTTAATGATTTCTTTTTCTTTTTTTAATTGGGGTATTTGGGAGGAAAGCTGATAGCACTCCTAAATATCTCCTTGGAAGAGAAGCTTGAAAATTTTCTCCTTCTAGTCTCATGAGCAGAGGAGGTGAGGGAGAGTCTTCATTTGAATGGGTACTACAGAAGCAGTTCCAGGGATTTATGTAATGCTAAATTGTTCCCAGAGCCTACTAAAGGCTCAGTGTTGTATACCTCATGCTGGTTTCTGCCTAGCAAAGAATTTTACCATAATGTGAATAGAAAGTTACCTCTTTTTTTAAAAGCTAATCAAGTACATATCTCCACTGCCAAGTGCTAGCTGTTTTATAAAAAGTACTTGAAGCAATACACAAACCTTAGGGCTTGGTACCTCATTAATTTCCTTGTAATAAGCCAGTAGACCAGATTCTGGTTCATAGTTCTGTTCTAATTGCTGTGGTACAGAGCCAGTGATTTCAAAGTTGCTAGAGTGGGATAATTAAAACAGATTGGAGCAGAATCCTCTTATGTATGTGTGCACTGTGTATGTTACATTCAGCATTTACATTATGTTGTACTACATCTGTTGTCAGGAAAGTGCCAGTAAATCATGGTTTTGAATAAGACCATTTGTGGCATGGCATGTTATTGTTTCGTTTTACAGCATGCAGCTATTACTGGTACAGCTGTAATGAAATCAGAATGGCAACAAAAATGCTGAGGGTCTTGAAAGGAAATCTTTTCTGAACAGAAAAGCAGGTATGAACAGTAGTTTAAGCTGCAAGCTGTGCTTTCTCTGATGGGTCTGACTCTGTCCTTGTTGTAGGAGAATGGGTTGGATTATGAAGCCTGTCTCGTGGCTCAGTGCGATGCCTTGGTTGATGCGTTAACACGGCAAAAGGCAAAACTGCTCACAAAGGTCACCAAGGAACGTGAGCACAAGCTGAAGGTGAGCACTCCTCTCATCAGCTCAGCACAGCTGCTGATATATTCTTGGTGTGGTTTGTCAACTTCCCCAACCCTTTACACCATGAAATCTCCTAGTGACCAAATTCTAAAGTTCCTTTAGCAGGTTCCGGTTCAGCTGTTTAATGGAACTGTGCCTGTGCACATTAAATGATGGTTATACTTCAGCTGTTTGTTGAATCAGGCCATCAGTCTTTATTTATCTGATGGTTTGGGGCCGTCTTTTGAGAGGTGCTTATCTGTGGTTTGGATTTTGGCACCTTCTGCCAAAGTAAAGAGTTGTGATTTTGATATCTCCTCGAATCTGTAAATTCAGGTAAGCCACCTTCAGAAATACATGAGCTACTCAAAATATTTTAAAGAAATGCTGTCAGTGGAGATGGCAAGAAGAAATCTAAACTGTTTGAATGAAGTGGCAGTCAAGAAATATTTAACTAGACACATTTCTTAAAATGCTGATCTTTATGTGATTTGAGGTACTTTGGTACCATTCACATTAAAAGTACCTAAGACAGAAGGAAAAAGTGAAATGGATTATCTAACATATCAGTTAACAAAATCCACCTGAGATCAGCATTCAGCTTGCTTAACAAGAACCAGCACTTAGGACATACTGCTGACAGCACAGCAAACCCTGCAGTTTATTGCTGTCACAAGTTGTCCTACAGAACACAGTGCTACTAGTTCTAGTCCACAGCCATGTGACAGCAGAATCAAGGCCAAAATCTGGAAAAATGGAATTTCTTAATTCCAGTAATGTGTTCTTAATCAGAGCAGGTTCAATGACAAATTGTGAAGAGAATGTTAGGGTATGATCTGTGAGAAACCACTCCAGCAGTTTGCCTCTAAAGTGAAGGACTTCTTAATAGCTCAGATGTTAGTGAAAGTGTGACTGGAAATGTGATCGCTGCAAATGCAGAGACATGTTCTGTGCCCTCTCTGCCCCAAGCAAGCCTAATCTTTGAGAAATTAATCTGCTCTGAAAATTGAGATTCCCTGTGCACAACATTTTGCCAAGCTAATTATTGCTATTTACAATACAGAGCAAGTGAGTGAAGCTGATGGAGATACGGCAATGGCCATATGGCAGCTAAATTAAGCATAGATTTAACACACTTTCCCATTCTTTGTCTCTTCTGAAATAATTTTATACAATTCACTGCAAGCTGAGGTAGTCACAGAACTGTACTGATGTTTGTTTTCCAGGTTGTTTGGGACCAGATAAATCACTGTACACTGAAGCTACGCCAGTCAACAGGGCTGATGGAATACTGCTTAGAGGTTATCAAAGAAAATGATCCCTCTGGGTTTTTGCAGGTAGTTTTCTTCCTAATGTTCTGAGGGGAAAAAAAAGAAATACATTAAAGCTAAGTCTAAAAATGTGTGGCTTGGTTAATTAACCCCTTCCACCTCCAAGGCAGGTTCACCTTAACTCCTGTAAGTACTGTCTAAAAACTCAGAGAGCCTGGTGACTGCATGAGTGTCCCGGCAAAGAGATGGCTTTAACAGCTGTATCCTGACTGAAGTGGGGAGTTAGTGGTCACACCACTCCCCTAACTCCTGATGTCTTTTCTCTTGCCAGCCCTTCCTTCTGGGCTGAGAAAAAGATGCTATCCAGCTAATAATAGCTTTTTGCAGAGTATTATTTTATTCTCGTCTGAGAAACCCAACACAGGGCCTCACAGAGATCTCTGATTAGTTTGGAGAGGTCAGTGACTCAGCAGAGTGGTACTTCTCCCCCTTGTGCTTCTCCCCTTTGCTTTTCCATGTAAAAGAGTCCTTTCGGCACCTCCCCTGTAAGGAAACCTAGTGTGAAGGGGCTGCATGTAGCTTTACTTTGCTGAGATTGTTGCATCAAGACCTGTGGCAGCTCCAGGTATCTTTACTTTGCAAAATATGGCCTAGCCAATAATTGCCTTAACTTGCAGAATATTGTTTCTTAGGTGCAAACAGTGAAAATGTCTACTGATGAGACAAAACATAACAGTGTTTTTTCACATAAATTATTTTGCTTAGTTAATCTTATATGTTTATTAATAACTTTATTTTGCCCTAGTAGTTTTGTTGCCTTATTTATTGCCTAAAAAGAAAGGTACACCACAAAATGACTTGCACACATGAATGCATAGAGTGTCAAGGGTTTGTCAGAGCATCTCTAAAAAAACAGGATGAGAATTAGCCAACTTAAACCTATTAGCACTCCAGACTGATTGTTACTGTCATGTCTAGTCTCAGGCGAGAGAGGGGAATGTGTGGTGTAGATTAATGTCAAGCTTACACAGATTTTAACAGGCTGTTGGTTGAACACTACAGGACAAACAAAACCTTTAGGTCTTACCTACATGCTATCTAGATATATGCTTTACTTTCTTTTCAACTTATGTTCCCTATAACTTCTGTGGCTTCAGTTTTTGCAGCCCCCCTTATTAAAAAAAAAAAAAACAAAAAAAAACCACAAACCATTTTTGTTTTTACTTTTTCCTGGTTTATCTAATGATGCTTTCAAGACAGCCAGCAGACACTCAGGCACTGCATTACTTTGAGCAACTACTCCTGCAGCCAGGTTATTGAGACATGGCCAAGGGATCCAGCATCCCAGTAAGTGACTCTGAGGTTGCAGGAGTTGTGGGATGCTCCTCCACCTACTGCACAGACTGATTAGGAGCTGTTGATGCAGGGGCTCAGACAGGAGTGTCCTCAATAAAAGTAATGAGGAAAAGTATCCAAATTCCTGCAACAAGGGAAAACTCTCTCTGTTGTACCCAGAAAAAATTCGACTCTCTGTGACTTACAGGAAGTTCACTGTCAGGGACTCCAGATATCCAAATGGCAGCTTCACTGAACTCAAGGACAGTTGAGTTCATTGATTTCCACAGAGCCAGGATTTAACTTCCTGAAGTGTCTGTTGTGATCATTTTAGTTTGACTTCTGGTCTGATTGTCTGTGGGCTGAGCTAGAGCAAATCTTTAAAAATAAAATTCAGTTCTGATGTAATGGTAGAAAATCCATCATATATGTGAAAATCTATCTGACAATTTATCACCCACACTGTGAGTAATATACACCTTCCTTACCATTTTCTTTTTTTAATCCTTTAGCTTTCATCCACTGAATCATCTCTCCTGAATGAAGAGACTCAAACATTTAATCCTCTCTTTGTGCAACTTCTTTTAAAACAGGAGAGCAAAAGTAGACCATGCAGATCAGAGGACAGAGTACAGAATTATGTGTGGCATTCAAAGGCATGACACACAACATAAGCTTAGCAGGCTTTATAAATGCAGTTTTAACTTTCCTAGCCTAATATGATATTTATTTTGAAAAGACAAGATGAAAGGATGCAACCTAAATGGACCTCACCCCAAAATGACCAGATCCTATCTCATCTGTTTTGCTGCTTTAATCCTGTTTCCTTTGTGCTGCATCTCACAGACATTCTGTCATTTTTAATGTGTGTGTTGGCCATTTCATTATAAACCTGGTACTCTCTTTCAGATTTCAGATGCTTTAATCAAGCGTGTTCAGGTATCTCAGGAACAGTGGGTCAAAGGAGCCTTGGAGCCAAAAGTATCTGCTGAGTTTGACTTGACTCTGGATAGTGAACCTTTACTGCAGTCAATTCACCAGCTGGATTTTATTCAGATGAAATGTAGGGGTGAGCTTCTATGATTTTCCTTTTCCTGTTTTTCATGCATGTGTTGAAACAGTGCTGGGAAGTGTGAGGACACCAAAGGAGGAAAGAGGAATGACTTGAATTTGTTGGATAGTTTTAAAAGGTTTTCAGGCAAATTCAGGTGTTTCCTGGAAAGGTGTGCTCCCCTCACATGTATAATCTTTAAGTGTATCTGGTATTTCTATTTGAGCTGAACAAGCTCAGATAGAAATACCAGATGCACTTAAAGATCTGTAAAGATAACTTCTTCAGAGTAGGGCTTTGGAGATTAGTAAGACATGAGCTGCATGAAACTTCATGCCATTTTGTAGTATTCCCTGGTTTGACATGGTTAATTCAAGATACCAGCTACCCCTATCTTGTCAGAAACAGCTGAAGTAGAAGATAAATATTACATACACAGACACGCACACACACACATGCTTGAATAGGGGAAAAAAACACCAGCCTTTGACCTTTAACTTCTATCTGGACTGTGATGCAAAAATTGCCCATCTTAATAAAAAAAAAAATCACGAGGAAAAGATTTACAAGGGGAAAGTACGTCCATGGCTGTACCATTCCATGGTTCCAGGTATCTGAATAATTTTGATGGACAAGCTAGAGGGAACTGAGGTTAAAAAATGTATCTCAAAGGAGAAGCTGATAAACAGGACATGTCACTGACATAAAAAAAAAAAAAAAAGAAAATTAACATAGTGAGCTTTTAATGGGGTTAGTTTATGTGGAGCAGGCTGAGAACTGCATCAGAATTAGATCCATAGAACAGTAGGGTTTGAAAGCCATTGTGGTCCCTGGGAATGATGTCATTAGCTTCTCTCAGTGGTGGTTCAAGTCTTAATTATACATGTGGGTGACAGGATAGAGGCTGCCAGAAGTCAGTGAATGAGTTAAGGATATTCGTGTAGTGATGTCAGATGTGCTTTTTTTGTTTTGTTTTGAGCAAGCATAAAGAACTTTGTTCCACTTATGTGTTCTCTCTGGGCCTAATTCTGCATCTAAGACACCCAAGATGAAGTAATTAGGGTGGATAATTTGGCGGATGTGTGGAGAAACAATGTACAAACAGTTAAAGGCCAGAGTCTGCTCACCAAGGATGCTTTGCGTCTTGGCATAAACAGGCTGTGTTAAAGTTATTCAATAAACATCTGTGAGCTGCTCCTTGAAATGTTGTCAGACAGGCAAGTGGGGTCAAAAGAGAAGGAATAACACTGATAAAATTCCTCTGAATGCTGTCTGCATGTGTCTTTTTAAAATCAGTTTATGTTTAATGCTAGCCATGTTTATTGTGAAATATATTTAATACTAATCTCCCACCACTCTCCTTTACAAACATAGGAAAAATATGGTTAAACTAGTCACGTAGATTGCTATTAACCACAGGTTACCTGAGGTGAGAGCAGCTTAGGTATTTGGCTTGTGAACATCCACCTGCCTTTAAACTTGAAGAGTTACAAAACTTTAATTGAGCCAGATTCACTTGTGCTTATGTAGTGTTATCTGCTACGCTCTCATTTATCATAAGATGGCAGGGAAGCTCTGGTGCTGAGTTAGACACAATCTGAGGGGCAGAGAAGAAGACAGGACTTTTGCAGCCCAAACCTGTGCAGAGCTTCCAAACACCCTTGGGCTTTGTTCCCCAGAGGCAGGGTTAGCCCTCAGGAAGGGCTTTTGCTTGAGCTGTCTTGGTCCTGACCAGGGATTGTCTGTTGCATGTCCCATCAGGTTGGTCAGCACAACCAGTGTGATCATGCACACACCATGCAAAGAATAGTGGAAAGGGTGTTAACCTGGCCACCATTCCTTAAGGTGCATAAGGGATGGCATTCACACTTCACACCTCTATGTGCCCAAGCAGAACAAACCACTGACCAGTTCCAAGCTAGCAATTGTAGGTATGGGGGAGTGTTTAGTATATAGACATGTATTTATCTTTCTTCATTTACAACAGCAAGTCTATTTCCATTTGAACTTCTCAGTCTGACACTTTGGCCTTTTTTTTTCCTGAAACTTTATTCTATGACCTCTGCATTATTTAAGAATCATAAAATGGTCTGGGTTGGAAGGGAATCTTAAGGATCGTCTAGTCCCAACCCCCTCTCACAGGAAGGGTCACTTTTCACTGGGTCAGGTTGCTCAGAGACCCATCCTGCCTGGCCTTGAACACTTCCAGGAAAGGGGCATCCACAGCTTCCCTGGGCACCCTGTTCCAGTGCCTCACCATCCTCACAGTAAAGACTTTCCTCCTGATATCTAATCTAAACCCTCTCTCTTTCATTTTGAAGCCATGCTCCCTTGTCCCATTACTAGATGCCCTTGTGGAAACTCCCTCTCCAGCTCTCTAGTAGCCCCCTTTAGGTACTGGAAGGCCACAATATGGTCTCCCTGGAGTCTTCTTCAGGCTGAGCAACCCCAGCTCTCTCAGCCTGTCTTCATTGGAGATATGCTCCAGCCCTCTGATCACCTTTGTAGCCCTCTTCCAGACCTACTCCAACAGTTCCATGTCTTTCTTGTGCTGGGGGCCCTGGAGATGGACACAGTACATGAAGCCATTGATCATACAGTTTCAGTGCAGCCATCCAGCCAATTCCTTATCAGCTGAGAGGTCCATCCATTAAAATTCTTGTCTCTCCATTTTAGAGAAAGGGATGTCATGTGGGACAGTGTCAAATGCTTTGCACAAGTCCAGGTAGGTGACACCAGATCATCTTCCCTCATCTGCCACTGCTGTTTTTCTGTCATAGAGGGCCACCAAATTTGCCAGGCATGATTTGGCCTTCTTCAGATGCACTATTTGCATTTTCTCATGCAGAGCGGTCTTGCATCTAGAAATACAGGTATCACAGAGTAATCAACTCAGCATTTCAGGAGCAAGCGCCCAAACTGATTGGGAACATCCCTTTGCTGACTGTAAGGAGAAGCTGCAGTTGCATGGTGATGTTTTGCTGTTTATCACCATGAGCACTGGAACAGATTGCCCAGAGAGGTTGTGGTATCTCCCTCACTGGAGATAATTCAAGAACTGTAGGGACACAGTCCTGTGCCATGGGCTCTAGGATGTCCCTGTTTGAGCAAGGAAGTTGGACCAGATGACTCCCTGTGGTCCCTTCCAAACTGACCAATCACACAATATGTGATTCTGTGACTTCCATATTTCTGAGCATCCAGTTTCACAAAGAAAAAATGTGTATGTCTCTTCACATCTGCTCCTCTTTCTTCAATCCTACCTACACCAGCACACCAAGTCATCAGTCTTTGCCAAATGTTGGTGTTGAGGTGAGTGTTATTAAGTCATTTTACTGGTTGATGTGACAAGAGCAAATGCTTTAAAGATGTCAATGATCTGTAAAGGAACTTTTTGGGAGATCTAGGAGAACAGGGCAAGCATGGCTTTTCCACCTGTAAATTGTTTTGGTTTTTTTTTTTCAAAAGCTTTGCAATGTAATACTGTATTATTGTTATCAGTGCTTAGTACATGACTGAATTTCTATTTTTTTTTTCAAACTCTGGCCTCATTCAACCTCATTGAGCTTGCATGGGTCATTTAGAGTGAAAGCATGCTTGTAAGTAAACATTGATTCACTGTGTTAGACAAAGAATGAAAATGAGAACAAATCACTTTGCATTTGCTTTGATGACATGTTCATTTACATTACTGATGCATTCTCTATAAGCACAGATCTAAAGCTCATCTAAAAAATAAAGATCATAGGGTTCTTTTTCTTTTTTAAAGAAAGAAGAAGCAATCTGAGAACAAATTAAATGTGCAGAGATGTGATAGGTGCAGAAGTAATGCTTAGGCAGTCATGTTTATCAAAGGGTCTCACTGAGTCCCACACTCGCTGGGCTGGCTGACCTGAGAGACACTCACACAGCTCTAGTAGTTGCTGGCATTTTGAACTTTCGCAGATAATTTTCTCTGTCCATGTTTTCTTCTCTCTGTTGCTTTTACAGAGTGCCTTGTCACAAAATTCCTGTCCTCTGATGCCTGGCTTAATGTGTACTTCACATATTCTCAGTTAGAGCTATTGGCACAGGCAAATGCACATCTGGGTCTGTTTTGTTCACACAGCTGTAACTGGCATGCAGTCTTCATTGGCTGAAAAATAGGACTAGATACAAAAGAGGAAAATATATAGCTACTCTACTTTTCTGTACCACCTCTGAACATTCCTTCATATATCCCTTATACCTCCTTGTCCTGAGTGACTCCTTCCCTCTTCTGCAAACCATGAAGATTCCCCAGACACATCTGCCATAAATCTCTGCTTCTCCAGGCATAAGCTGTATGCCCTGATAATTAAAGAACAGCTGTTTCATCTTAAGCTTTACCTCTGTTTTTTTCTGCTCTATGTCATGGACTCAGCTCCTTGTGGTCTCTCCTTCTCTCCTAACACTGTTTGTAAGGCACTTGCTACAGCAGTGACTCAAGCTATTCCAGGGCTGTACTGCAGTTTTGGAGGAAGTCAAAGTTTTCCTGTTTCTGGGGGATCCCATTCTTTCGGTGCATTTAGTCCTTTAAAAACTAGCCTGGGAAGGTGGATGACGTCATTGCACCACTTGCTTGTCAGGAGGACAAAAGACAACATCTTAGAGCAGCCCTACTGTACCCTGTGAGGGGACTGATCAGCCATGAGATGCGTTGAGCAATGTGTTTTGGGAACTACTCTGTTGACAAGAGACATTAGTCAGTGTCACATTTCTTATCAAAGAGTGACCTGCATGAAGCACTTTTAAAATTGCAGGACATCATTCAGACTCATTAATAAGTCCCGCCGCGCCAATGCAGTATCATTTCTCCCTTTATATTTTTAATATTTTCCTTCCAGAAAATATCTTGAGAACTTTAAATTGGTCAAGAAGTGGGACAGAACTGTAATTTAACATCTGAGTCTTTTTTTTTCCCTGGCACTTAGCCTGTATTTTTTCTTTCCTTAGTCCTATTCCATTGCTTTTTGCTGTGAAGTATATACTGGTATCCTGATTATTCGACTCACTTCACACTTTCCTATGATTTTTACAAGTGTTCATCTTTTCTCCTCCCATAGGGAATTTGAGATCAAGGCAAATCTCTGCCCATCCACATCCAGTGGAGGAAGCAGGAGGTCAGGCACAGAGAGCATCATGCAGCAACGCTGCACAAGCTGCTTGGCAGGAGCTTCTTCCCTCTCCTTCAGGAGAGTTCTGCAGTTCAGGCCACAGGCTGGATCAAAGAGAGCAGGAGGCTGATATGGATTACCCACAAAATGTGAGACTCTCACACATTGAGCCAAAATTCACCCTTCCCCTGGGAAGTGGGAACAACAGCACTCTACTGGATGAAAACATATTTTATTCCTAGGCAGCATTCCTGTTTACATAGTTAAGGGGAAATTGTAAAACACATACCCTCCCTCAAAAACTCTGCTCTTTTTTTTCCAGCATTGTGTTTTAAATGAACAGTTCTTGGAAGCCTCCTATCAGTGTTCCTAGGAGTTATGACTTTTTTTCAGAGGTGAAATGGTTAGTGGTTTATTCAGATGTGAAGGGACATTATCTGTTTTGCATCTTAGAAACATCAGGAATTAGGTTTTCAGCCAGTCTTGCCAGGAGGAGTCTCAGAAATGGGGAGGACCACAAAAAAGCCTCCTCAGAGGGCTAACCAGCTAGGAAAAGTGGCAGGAGTGTGGATGGCTGATAGAGCCCTATCTTCTCCCAGGCTCGTCAGTCACCAGGAATACATAGGTTAACAAACACAGACAAAACTCTAAACTTAAAATGGTTCATCTAAGAAATCCTATTACCTCTGAATTCCTCATTTTCAGGTTTTTGACTCTTGTCACATTTCTATGACTTCACCAGACACAGTGTCTCCTAGAGAAAAATCTGAACTTTCCATGTGAGAAAACAAGCAGGTTTTTATTTATGACACTCTCTGAATCATCCTTAAATATCAAGGAATAGGAACAAGGCTTCCTTTTCACAGAAAAACCTTCAAGAGCTAATTTATAAAGCTCCTTTGTTTCATTCTTCTGGGCTACCAACCATCTGCGTTCACTGTGGTGATGGATAATGCCAGCGGAAAGCTGTGGTAGCTTCTGTGCTGTTTATCACAAGTGTGATGTTGACTTTCGAGTCACTTCCAAAGTGGGGGTGAAGCCTCAGCCCTGTCACACAGTAGCATCCATTTTCCCACAGTCTGCTTGGTACACAGAACATGAACCTCTTTTATCCAGAAACATAAAATAGGACGAAAGGAACAGCTCAAGGGCTTAGCTCTCACACAGACAGAAGGAGGAAAATATACTAGGAGGTCAAAGCAGAGTAGATAAAAGAAGAGCAAACCGATATTATGAAACCAGTGAATTCTCAGAGCACTCAGTTTCTTCTAAGACATGATTGAGCTCTCAGCAGAAAAGATATTGAGATATTGAATGGTAAAATTTAGCCTTGGGCAGAAGACCAAGCAGGCTTTGTGCATCACTTGCATTCTACTTAACCTGTATGGTTTCAACATAAGATGCATGCCAGGTCTATCCAGAAGACTAAATTTTCACTTTATAATTGCCAGCAAAGAGTGAACAGTGAGAGTTTAGTTTTGTTTAGGAGAGGTTGGATTGAGGTGTCTTTGCCACAGAGACACAGCTGAATATTTTACTCTGTTTCTTTTTATTTTTAAGATGCTGGTCTGGTAAACAGTCTCTTGGTGTTTCTTCTGAGCAAGTCACTGAAAAGGCATGTTGGTAGAAAAATTTGCATTTGTAATTTCCATGAGGAGTCTACTGTGATGCAGAAGTTCATTTTGCTACCTGAACCATGGGATTTAGATAAAGTTTGCAAACAGAACAATTTGCTTCAACAGTTTATTTTAAGCGTGGTTGCCATAAAGATAACACATCCAAGGTGTCTTTGATGAAAAACTAGGCGGAGAGGGAGGGGTGGTAAATCAGATTTTTAAAACCCCCCACAACGGTAGTGAAGAATTGCTTTCCTGCTTTTGGTGGAGTTCAGGCTGTCTCTCAGCTGTGCTGGCAGGAGTGGCTGCTCTGCTTGTTAACCCAATTCTTTGTTAATGCACTGGGTTCCCTGGCAGCATTGCCTCTGCCACTCTATGGCCTGAGACACCCCCTGCCCCTCCTTTTGGGGACAGTGGGTGCTCTGATGTGAAAAATAATTCTTCTAGACAGTGACTCCTGGAAAGGAAACCACACATGGATTCCCCAGACTCTAGTTCTTATGAGACATGACAATCAAGTCCAGATATATTTCTGTCTATATAGTTCAGTGAAATGATTTGTCTAACTGGGTAACAACATTTTGTTATGTAATTTTACTGCCTTTTCTTTCAAGGAAGAGAATGGACTCTCTTCCTAACAAACACTGGCTTCCATGCAAGGGGAAGGAGGTGAAGGAGCAGTTGCCATAGTGCTCACAGCACAGACTAATGGGGTCGGGCAGAGTTACACTAACCTGTACCCAGTTCCTGTTTCAGTGCCACCCATCCCATTACTGCAGCTGGAGAAGTGTTGCACCCGGAACAACAGTGTGACACTGGCCTGGAGGATGCCACCTTTGAGCCACAACCCAGTGGAGGGCTATATCTTGGAACTTGATGATGGAGATGGTGGCCAATTCCGAGTGAGAATTTCATTCCGCATTTATTTGTGTTTCTTTGTATGTGAGTTTCCTCCAGATATGAATTTGTTTCTGTCTGAGGGTGGGGAGAGGGGTAGGGAAGATTGGGTTGTCAGAACATCCCTAATTCCATTGTGCTGATGGAGAAAGCAATGCAGATCCTGCTTAATAGAAGGACCACTGGCCTAGGTAGGAAGTTTGAGGTTGTTCTCAGGACTCTGGGAAATAGAACCTTGAGGTATGCTCAGTGCATTCCGGAGTAGAAAATCCCATATGAGCCTGCTGAATATGGGAAGCTGGAAGTGGTTCATTGCACAAACCAGAAATTTCTTTGAAGCCCTTACTCTCATGTTTCAACAGCTGACATTCTTGGTCCAGAAATGCAACTCAGTCTTTCCTGATTTTCTGAGTAAAAATATGATGCTGCATAAAAATACAGGGTTTCTAAATCTTTTCCCTGGGAGGCCAGGCTGGTGGAAGCTTTTTCCACTCTCAGGCTTGATGGAATTGATAAATATAGAAAGGCTTCCCAAGTGCTGTCCTTCCAGATCCTCTGAGTGATGCCACAACGTGATGCTCCTGGTTGCAGGTGCAGGGTGCTTATGGGCTCCCATACTTTTTTGACACATCCTGATGAACAAACTAGAGAAGAAATTCAATCAGTTTTCTTCCATCCATATCCTCCTAGATGCTGTGGCCCTTCTACCTCAGGCAGGCTTCATGCTCCTGTTGCTCAGGACCAGGCTGGCCCTGTGCTTTCCCTAGGGGCTGGTGCCTTGAAAGCATCTGGACATCATTGTGGAGTACAGCTGCTCTCTTCACAAACAGGGAATTTTGCAAAAAGCATTTCTTTGGGAGCTGCAAACTAGCTCCTCCCTGGAAAACTAAAGAGTGCTCAAGCTGAAAATGTCCTGGCATGGATCCACCTAAGAATCTGCCAAACCACTGCACCCATAACCAGCAAAGGTGCCTGATTTGGATACCCCTCATTAGAAGAGGCAGCAATATTGGCAGGGCATTTTGAAGACGACGTTGTGGTTTTTGGAAGGTCTCCTCAGTTCCTTGGTCCATGTAACATTTCACAGGAATTTGAAGAGCCTGGTTTCCACCACTGAAAGTGTGAAAAGGTACTTTTGTGAATGGCTGCTGAGAGCTGCCAATATAGTCAATGTCACTAGGTAAGAGGGTTATCAGTGTGTGATGAATGAAGAGTTAGAATAAAGTGTTAGAATTCCAGTATCTTTTATCCAGTTTATCCAGGATAAACCTTTTTTAAAGTGGTATTAATGTCTTGTGAATAACAAGATTTCAAGCTGGTGCGTATCCAAGCTCATTTGTGTGGATGAGTTTTGGTACTGCCAAAGGTTTTATGACTGCCAGCAGCGCCATGTTAAGGTTTTGGATTGAAAAAGGTACAAACCCATCTCAATTCTTAAAAATGTAAGGTGATAACTTCTAAGGGGAATGTTCTGCTTGCTGAAGTAGAAAGATCCTTGATTTTACCCGTTAAAAAATAAAAGGCAGGCTTCTCAGCAGTGCCATTGCAATTAGGGTCTGCTGACCTTTTAAATGGAGAATTCTATATCTGAAAGCAAAGACATTGACTGCAATTTATCAGTATTTGATGGGTGGATCTAAAGAACATCTTTGTTGAAGCAGAGAGCATCAACCTGCACAAAACAAAGCAGTGACCAGCGGTAAGAATGAAGTGGATTAGAAAATGTCAGAATTGTTCAACAAATACAAAATTTTTTCACAGTCAGCATATCTTATGACATGGAGGTAAACTAAATTATTATATTAAAACTCTTTGTCTCCATGAACGATCACCAGCTAACTCAGGACCCAAGAGATTATGTTGTTTGTAACAGCCACCATAGTAGCAAAAAGGACAAACATATGTCCTGCTGAAAAACTTAATCAATTCCTTTCTTACTCATCACATCCTTTTGAGTTTATATGAAAGAGCCTCAACCATCAGAACTATTCCTAGGCATTACTAAAGTCTTACTAAACTGGGATCTGAGTGGTTTGCTTAGTGACAGGTTCAAGCACTTTTGTGCCTTTCCTTCCATAAACCAACAGATTTCACAGAGTCAGAGACATCAGAGGTGGAAAGGAATTATCTTTCAGCCTGCTGCCAAAACAGGCTTTTCTAGGCTTCATTCAGTTCATCGTAGCCTGCATAATCTGATCCTCTTCATCGGTCTGCCTAGATCTTCCTCCCTCTGAAATATTTCACATTACAGAAATACATGTTGTATAAGAATTTGAAGATGTTTTTGATGTCTCTGTTGTCTAGATACTGTTTCATCATGTGATGCATGTAATCCTAACTTTTAGGAGTTAATTTTCTTCCGGATCTGTGTTTTCAGGTTTCGAAATTATATTTTAACCTAGGCATGAGAGAACCTTTTCAACAAAACAAAACTGTTCTTGATTTTTTTTTATTCTTATACGCCCACTTTTTTTGTCTTACATAAAATAGTGGCCACAGTGTGTCAGATACAGGGACTACTCTCCAAAATAGTGATTTGGAGTAGATATTTAGGATAAGAGGAGCATGAAGACCTTTTTGTGTTGCCCTTTGTTGCTTTACCCTTCCATCTTCATCTTCACCTTAGTTTGTCCAGTGCTGACCATCGTTGATGTCTCCCATGCTGTGGCTGTTTGTATTATAGCAGCATAACTCATTCATCCTGAGAAGCAAAGAGAAGCTGTTCACTTTTGGCTTATATTTAGAAGTCTTAACTATGTTAAACGATGTCCCTCGTTCTGTCTGTCTGTCTCTCTCTCTCTCTCTCTTTTTGTCTTTGGTTCTTTTTGCAATGTTTAGGAAGTATATGTTGGCAAGGAGACCCTCTGCACCATCGATGGCCTTCATTTCAACAGCACTTACAATGCCAGAGTCAAAGCTTTCAACTCCTCGGGCATTGGTCCTTACAGCAAGACAGTAATTTTACAGACGTCGGATGGTGAGCTGGGGGTTTGCCACTTTCTAAATGAATAGCTGCAGGTCTCAGTGGCAGGACACTTTCATCCCTTTACACCCATTAATGTATTTGACACCTACTGGCATTTTCCATTATGAGTAACACTTCAGGCTTTAAGTTGTGTGATTTTAGTTGGCTGTAAAAGTCTAGGGATCTAACTAAGAGACTTTCTTTATCGTACAGAAGCAGTTATGCAATTCATGGGATATTTTTTGTTCCACTCTGTCTCCCTTTCTACATACATCTTTGGGATTTGCCTTTTTCTTCACTACTGCTTCAATTTCCCTGAAAGGTTTGATAATACAGAGATGGGAACTCATGCTTGTTCCTCTGTAATTATACTGACATCCATACAGACGTTACAGGAAGTTCATCTTCATTAATGATATTGTAATGAATTGACAAGTGCATGTTATTATCACTTCCACTTCTATGCTGTGTTGCCAAAATAGGCCAGTATAAAATATTTATACTTTAAGAGCTTTTGGGCCCTTTTTTCCCTTTTTTTAAAAAAAACCCTTCACTTTGATAAACTAGTGAAGTCAATCCTAACCATCATGGACACAGCTAATCTCCATTTTCATTAAAGGCGATCCTGAACCAATTCACTGACATGAGCAGTTTCCATGTCATGGAGCAACCTGTGTCTCCTCAGTGACTCTCTTGTTACTGTGTGTGGACAGAATGTCACTACCCTTAGCAGCTAAATTTCAGGGGAACAAGTGCAAATGATGTAAAGCACTTCTGAGCTGAAGAACAGCAGGGGTACCAGGTCAGATTAATCTTGTGTAGCTGCCTACAGTAACAAGGAAAGAGAATCTTTATTACCTCAGAGTACAGCGGGGTCTTTACAAAGGCACAGTTTTGTCCTTCTTACTGAAGTTAAGCAGAAAATACATGGACACAGCCCCTCCTGATCTAATCCTACCTTTCCTTTTCCCATTCCACAGTGGCGTGGTTCACCTTTGACCCCTCCTCAGCTCACAGAGACATAGTGCTGTCGAATGACAACCAGACTGCCACCTGCAACAGCTATGATGACCGTGTGGTTCTGGGCACCGCTGCCTTCTCCAAGGGCGTGCATTACTGGGAGCTTCACGTGGACCGCTACGACAACCACCCGGACCCAGCCTTTGGCATTGCCAGGATTAATGTGGTCAAGGACATGATGCTGGGCAAGGATGACAAGGCATGGGCCATGTATGTGGACAACAACCGCAGCTGGTTCATGCACTGCAATTCCCACACCAATCGGTGAGTGCTGCCTGGGGGCTTTTCTCCTCACAGACAGTTCTACTCTGCATCAGAGGCAGGTGTCTCAGCAAGCATCTAGTCCAGATCCCAGATAAATGTACTTATTTTATTCCTTCTTAAAAATCACTAGTGACAGTGATTGCACCTTAACAGTCCATGTTGGTGTTTATCCTCACTGTTATCAGTTTTTCCCTTAATTCTTGCCTAAATCCCCCCTGCTGTTGTTTAAACCCAGTACTGCATGTCCCACCCACATCAGCAGACAGGGATACAGCACAATGGGATGCAGGACTTCTCTCATTGCTGGCAAGAGAAAGGTGGTTGATTCTTTTCCTTAGGAGGAATCATGACTGCAGATTGTATGATAATTAGGCTGCAGGTGTTTGTTTCCAGTTCTGACAGCTATTAAGTGTTTTGCTGTAGGTCACACTGAGGCAGATCTGGATACAAGGGACTGTTTGGCAGTGAGGGCTAAGTGACAGCTTTCATTCTACTGAGCCATTGTACTGAAGAGCTTTGAAAAGCACCTCAACTAGTACAACCAACTTAGACAGAGGAGAATTTCAGAATGCCCCCAAGCCACTGTTACCAAGACTCTCTCTCCCACCACTCAGAGGCTCTGTGTTCTCAATGCAACTGAGCAGTGGAGAGACATGTTCTAGCTGCAGGTACCTCCAGGGATGGATCACACAGAGAGAACAACTGTCAGCACAGATCCTGGGTTGTGCTGACACGGTTGCATGACTTTTGGTGCTCAGGATAGTCACTTCTGCCTAGGGCTGGCTTCTGTTTCATTGAAGTGATGCCAGACTGAGCAGGGGACACATGGTTAGTTTGTTTGAAGGTATCAGAGCAAAACTGCACTGTTCTCTCTTTGTGTCCGATGAGAGGGTCTGCCTTAGCTGAAGGTCAGCTGGGTACTGAGACCCTTGAGAAGATCTCCTCTGAAAAGGATCTGAAATCCCTTGCTTATTTTGGAAAATGGTGTATTTGTATACCATATACCTCACAATGGGAGACTGATGTATAAGTGACTGACTAAGGATATGTAGCAGGTCTGTGGCAGAGCTGGAATCAACTTCTGTTTAGTTTTCTACTGACTGTCCCACCAGACTCTCACTGTCTCAGGTGTTTTTTCTGTTATACCAAACGATTAAAACAAAGTTTCACAGTGCTTTTTAAAGCACTGAAATGCAGGTGTCTCCTTAAAGCAATAGGATTGTGTCAACATGCACTGTATCCTAAGGTTGAGTGTAATGTCTCCCATTGAATTGTGATTTATACTTTACAGCATACCTGTGCTTTAAGAAAGTACACTGCAATTGCCCAGAATTTTTGTTTGAAACATGGTTTGATTTTGCAGTTCATTACAGACAGGTGGAAGGACCTTGTAGCTGGATCAAAAGCTATCTGAAGTCACTTGCGTTGTTCTCCATGGGTCCAAAGACCTTAGATCATGTTCTAAGACAATACAGAGTAAAATAACATAAGTAAAATAAATATACTAAAAAGTTCTCTGTCCCTTTAACATCTTGATTCAATTCAGGGCGGAAGTAATGTTAAGCTGTATTAATTTTAATGCTCTGTGGAACAGCTTATGTTTTCTGGAAAAAAGCTGGCAACCATTCTGTACACCACTGTCCCAGAAACCTATTTTATGGATTTGGTCCTCGGCGTGCTCCTCCCGGCAAGCAACACACAAGCTAAGCAGAAGCTTTTTTCTGGGAAACACAAACAATAGAAACACTTAGGATTTCCAATCATCCTGCTTAATCAAGAGAGCAAAGTGCTTTCTGTTGATGATAGTTTCCCAGTTTTTACCTGATAAAAGGCATGCGCAAGGCATGGATAGACCCATGGAATATCTGTTCAAGGGAAGTACACTTGCAAAGGGCATGTAGTCTTATGAAATCACATGCGCTTCAATGAAATTAGGTCTAGGCATTATATTTTTAACTGTGACAGTCAACTAGGTCAATTTTTTAACTCATTAGCTGTAATAGTCTTGTGGAAACAGTTATTGCTGCCTATTTGTTTTTCCCCACTGGACACGGGTGCATGACAGCACAGTATCACAATCCAAAGTGAATTAATTGTCAACTTTTAGCCTCTGGGATGTTGTTATGATGAAAGTTACACCTTAGTAATGGTTTCTTACTTCCTAATCTTCATGAGAAAAAATTAGGGTAATTAATAAATGACTAGTTTCAAGGATAACCTGAGATAGAGCTTGAAAGACTAATATGTGTGACCTGTCACATTTAGATGACTTTTCTGTGCCTTTCACTCACAGCATGCAAAATTCGATCTAGCATGACTTCTGTGATGCTGGAAGGGGCATGAACAGGAGACTCTAATGCATCCAGGAACAGAGGGATCCTTTTGAGAACAGGTTGAGGAAACTGGTTAAGAAAATACTTTAGGGCAGAGATACAGGTTTTGGAGTCACCTTTAAGTCTTGTTGTTCCGAGAAATCTGAGCCTGGAAAAATCATGGAACAGATCCTTCCAGAAGCTATGCTAAGGCACATGGAGGACAGGAAGGTAATTGAAGACAGTGAGCATGACTTTATCAAGGGCAAGTCCTTCTGTGATGGAGTGACTACAGCAGTGGACAAGGGAAGAGCTATGGGCAACATCCATCTGCACATCTTGATATGGTCCCCCACAAAATCCTTCTCTCCAAACTGGAGACACATGGATTTGATGGATGTCTGATGGATAAGGAAATGGTTGGATAGTCACATCCAGAGGGTAGTGGTCAACAGCTAGATGTTCAGATGGAGGCTGGTGACAAGTGGTGTCCCTCAGCGGTCCATACTGGGGCCAGTTCTATTTATTGTCTTCATCAATGTCATAAAGAGTGGGATCAAGTGCACCCTCAGCAAGGTCACAGATGACACCAAGCTGAGTGGTGTGGCTGACACACCTGAAGGACCAGATGCCACCTAGAGGAACCTGGACAATTTCACGAAGTGGGGCCATGGGAACCTCAAGGGCTTCAACAAAGCAAAGTGCAGAGTCCTGCATCTGGGTCAGGGCAGGATGGAGGATGAAGGGACTGACAGCACCCCTGCCAAGAAGAACTTGGGGATATTGGTGTATGAGAGGTTGATCATGATCTGTCAGCGTGCACTTGCAGCCCAGAAGTAGTACTGTATCCTGGCAAAAATTTTCAGAGGAATGGAACATTGCTCCTTTGAAGGAAGGCTGAGAGAGATGGGGATGCTCAGCCTGGAGATGAGAAAACTCCAGGGAGACCTGATTGTGGTCTTTCAGTACTTGGAGGGGGTTTATAAGAAAGATGGGGACAGTCTTTTCAGCAGAGGTTGTTGTTCTAGGACAAGGGGAGATAGTTTTGAACTGAAAGAAGGTAAATTCAGACTAGGTGTAAGGAAGACATTTTTTTACAATGAGGGTGGTGAAACACTGGAACTGGTTGCTCAGATAGGTTGTGGATGCCCCATCCCTAGAAACATTCAAGGTCAGATTGGGTGGGCTTCTAAGCAGCTCGACCTAACTGAAGATGTCCCTGCTCTTTGCAGGGGGGTTGGACTAGATGACCTTTAAAGGTCCCTTCCAATCCAGTCTGTTCTGAGAGGTGCTGGATGCCCATTAACAAGAGGCACTGACATTCAATGCAATAGATCTGTTCCTTGGCAGAGTTCCCAAGAGCAGGACTACCAGGTGCTACAGGCAATACTCCAGCCACTACATGTCTGTGGAAAGAAGGAGATGTAAATCTCCTTGAAATATTTCATACTGAAATAGTTTGTACTGAAAAACAACAGAAAGTTGAAATCTAGAATATTTGCATTTTAGTCTTAAAAGTCAGGAGAGTCTCTTCATTGACTTCAGCTATCTCAAGAGCAGGTTTTTTCATCACACAAAAATGCTACAACTGAATGAAAAATGCTATCATTGGCATTAGATATCATAAAGTTTTTAAGATGCTGTAAAGCTAACACTTAAAATATTGTAATGGAGAGTTGAAATAATTATTCAGTTTATTAATTGTTCATAAATTGTTAATATTTCTTTTTAAATAACAGTGAAACTACTCTTCTTAATTCCTCAAGCCAGTTCATGCAGTCATATTCCTGACATTGTCCAAGCTGTTAGTGAAGGCATCTTGGAATAACAGCCTCTACTGCCACAGGCAACTGCATTTTTCATGGTAGCCAAATTCTCCTTTCTGTACTCTGACCTTCCAGGCTTCTTCACAGCACTTCTACACTGAGGACTTAGTGTTGCACACAGAAATCAAAATGTTCAAATGATTTACTTGAAAAAACGAAACAGTGTTGCCTAGCTCCAGAATTGAATTGTCCTTTAATAAATACTAAGTATTTATTAAGGGATCATTGCGACAAAAATGTCGTATTTTCCTTTTGCATGAAAGGTTACTGGGGTTGTGTGGTATAAGTGTCATTAAGTAGCTTAAAAATGTATTACAGTAAAGGAGCAGGTTTTTTACGTGGTGCCACAGAAGTGCACCAGGAGGGATCAACATCACTTTGAGCCTCTTGAGCTATTTGGCTTTTTTACCACAACAAAAGCATTTATTAGAAAAATTATCCTGTAATGCTGTCTAAATGGTGTACATAAGAGTGAGGAAATGTATTGCATAAGTTTTCTCATTAAACAAACTCTCCCAGCTCTCCTCCTAGAGAAAGGAACCAGGAAAATAGTCTAAAAAGTGCTGGAGTCCTCAAAGTACTGTTCTCAAGGAAGCATGGGATGCTGAGTAAGAGCAGTTGTTCAGCCCCAGAAGAAGTCCAGCCTCCCTTGTAGCAGTGGGGTGAAGAGCTCCTGCCTGCTTCTGTCCTCCCTAAGTCCTGCCAGAGCCAGTTTCTCACTGTGGGGAGATGGCAGAGTAGGAATGGGGCAATCTACCTGCACAATTCCTGCAGAACTTGGGGCAGGACTAAAGGGAGAAGGTCCCCATCCTTCTGCTCTGGCCCCACACCCCTGTGGCTCATGTAGGGGCCTCAGCTGGGTCCTGCCCTTGCCTGGCTGGAATCTGCAGGCAGAATCTATCACCTCTTCCGTGGGGCTGTCCCTAGGGGCTGCAGAGGAGTCACTCAATGTCACTGTGCAGCACACAGCTAATTAGCCCACGAGAAACAAATTAGCTTGTCATGTAGGAAAGAACATCATAATCTCAAAAAAGTGAAGTTGCTGTTTCTGTTTCCCCAGGAGAATACATGTCATTTAAAAGGATGCAATAAAATCTCTTTTAAGCAGGATCTAAAATGTGGTGTCATGCAATCAAGGCTGTTCCTAAGCAGAGAAAAAAAAAGTAATCTGCTTGTAAATAGCTCCAAATCATAGTACTGTTGCTTCCTACAATCTAATAGTGAGTTTTATGATTGAGGGCTTTTAATAAAAATAGTCTATGTAGTGAGATACTCAGGGTAGGTAAGTATCTTCAGTTTTGATGGAAAATAATTTATTTTTTAGTTTTGGAGAAGAGCTCAGAGAGAAACCTATTAATGCTTATAGGATCAGAAATCAAATCAAAGGCATCTGAAAACAGTGAATTTTCGCATCTAACGCCATGATTCTTATCTATACTATTATTGTTTGAAGATCTTTAAATGGAGAAGTCAGAACAGTTTTCTATAATCTACCTTAAGATGAAATGCCACGTGCCACATTTTGTCTAAAGGAAAACAGTTTGTGACACCTAGTGGACAAGAGGAAAATTTCTTACTCTGCACTACATTCTTCCTAATCATATTCCAGTCCCCCCCTCCTTTTTAATTTTTTTTTATGTTTTGCCTGCCTATTGTGATAAATTTTGTGATAAAGTACCATTAATCTTGTGACTATTGTGTGCCTGAGGCGAGTGCATGGGACAAAAGACAGCTGCTTACTTTCCTACTGCAAATTATTTGATATCTGATTTACCCTGAACAAATTGTGTCAGGCTGTGAATCCATCACGGAGCCCCATGATACCAGCAGAATAGCAGTGCCTGTGGCCAGTCTGCATATCTAGTGGGTATTTTTGCTCAGTGTCCTTTAAAATAATACTGAGTTTGACTAACCCCCAAGTCAAAGTGCATTAATGTCAAATCGCTCAGGCATGTAATGGTTGGCTGAGTGTGTCGTGGCAAGCTCTGACACTGCAGTAGCTCTCAGCAGCTGCTCCTGACACAACCAATTATCACTGGTATTAATAACTATGCCTCACACTCGAGACAGCTCCCAGTCCAAGCTGAGCACCTTGTCAATCAGAAGCTACACTTAGGGCTAACCTTTGTCCCCAAAACCACTGTCTGTTGTACCTGTGCTGGCTCCCTGGGCTCTGGAAATCTGAGTTCCCTTAGAGCATGCCAAGGTGAGTAGTTGAACTGGAAGTCTCTCTCTGGAGCTGTTAGCAGGAATATTGATTAGAAATGAACACCTAGCAAAACAGCTTCCTGTTTTTTCATTTCCTGCCATGCATCACTTCACTGTAACAGGGATACACAGAGGTGATGTGTCTCCAGGACTCCACTGGCTCACCTCCCAATTTGTCATTAGCTATTAGCTCTGGACCCCATTTTCACCTCTTAAATTGCAGTTGCAGGAGAGGTGGATCTAATTTCTCTTTAGGATCCCTTCATTAAGCTCCCATGGATGTGGTACATATGCTTCAGATAAAGGTGTGGATCAGTCATCACCAATGCCTCAGGGATAATCATTTCTCTGTGTTGCTCCACACTCCCTTTGCTTAGTAAGGCTGGCTGGTCCTAGGGAGAGCAGCACAGTGTGCTCTGCCTTCACCAACAATGTGCTCTTTGTACCTTAGGACTGAAGGAGGAGTTTCTAAAGGTGCCACTGTTGGTGTGCTCCTGGATCTGAACAAGCACAACCTGACCTTTTACATAAATGGGCAGCAGCAGGGGCCTCCAGCGTTTGAAAACATTGAGGGCGTCTTCATGCCTGCATTGAGCCTCAATCGAAATGTCCAGGTAAATCTTCTGCAGTCCAACTAAAGGAACTGATAGCATCATCTATGGGTAGTCAGTACAGATGGGGGTTCTTTTCCTTCTCAGGCTTACATCTAGGCTACTCACGCTCTTTGGACTACATTTGACCTTCTGTCTTGCCTAACCGATGTGAAGAATAATTCTGTAAAACAAGTAAAAGTACCTGCACACAGTAATTCCTGCTCTGATTTTCCTGTGATGCTCCACTTGGAAAGCAGTGTCTCTAAAATTCTCCCCAGCCAGTTTGACTAAAAACCATCTTAATTCCTCCTAGATCTCATATTTGGAGATAATTAACATTGGCAAATGACTGAAGTATGAGTAGCCCAGTGGTAAGGAGAGCAAAGGCAGCATAGGTCAGAGAACTGGCACAACAGTGCATATCAGTCAGCACATCATTCTTGTGCTCTGTGTACAAGAGGTTTTCCTCTTGGAGGAACTGTCTTTAAGTATAATGCATTTTTGCTTCAAGACCGCTGCTTATGGCTAGAAACCTGGTGTGGTATAAAACCTGTGGAAATGCCTGGGAGCCTGAGGACTGAAGGAGATCAGCTTAGGTCAGGCAAGACCAAGACAGCCAGGGTGGAACACTCATCATGTCCATGGGCTCCGCTGCATGATCTCTGTCCTGAAGCACTTGGGCTCCCTCATGCAGAGATCCCATCCACCTTGTACCTCGCAAGCAGTACTTCTGGATGCCTACAACTGGTGCCTACATTTGGGAAAAGACAAACACCTAGCTTCTCGGTCCCAAAGTATTCAGGATGGAAGGAGGAAGGAGACTTGTTTATTTCAAAGACTAGATGTCATCTCCATTAATAGTCTTGATTTACACTTGGACCTGTAGTCCCGCAGCTCTTTCCATGTCATTTGCCCGCACTTTGCCTTCACAAATGCTTTGCTGAGGATGTCCCAGTTTTGAATCTAACATTATTTCTTCTTTGTGCAGGTGACCCTGCACACAGGACTGGAGGTGCCACAATCTGTAAAACAGCCCAAGTTGCCAAACAACTAATGAAGCCCGTCTGACACTGTGCTGGATTCTGTAAGCTTTCTCAGTGTGTTTTGGCACTTTTCAGTAAGTCAGTAAAAACGCATCCTCTTCCCTGACTTCAAACACTGTGCAGCATGCTGCTCACCGAATAATCGACTGGTTAGAGCTAGGCCACTCCATTTTCAATTTAACAGCCATAGCAAACACATCCACTGGACTGGCACTCGACTGCAGATGGGTAATTGAACATATCTACTCTGCGTTGCATACATATGTACACTCATGTGCACACACACAAACACATCTGTAAAGCAAAAGGTTAAATGAGTGTATTTTCTCTCTCATGGCTGGATTTGTGCTTAAATATTAGAGATGCTGGAAAAAATGGGCGAGACTGAAGCACGGTGGATGTTGGAGCAGTTTACCAGTAGATGAACTGGATTCCCTTGTCACTTGAAGTCCTTAAATAAAGAAAGCATATGTTTTGACAGCTGAAGCGGAGGTTATATGCTCAAGAATTCCTGGTTGTCAGTTACCTGGTTGCTCAAGAATTCCTGGTTCTCAATTACATTCAGGGGCTCAAATGATCATGGATTTTTCCTTCTGGCTCTAGACTGCAGTAAGCTATAGGATAATGTCCCCTTAGAATTCAGTGGCAGAACTTATCTGCAATGAGAACAAGATTGGTTCCCAAACGCTGCCATGAAATAGCTGGGTTAATTTTAGCTAACACCATGATACATGCAGAATTCAGGTACAGAAAGTCGAAAGAAAAATATCCTTGGTGCATTTTAGTGTTTGTTATTTAGGTGTGACTGCAGAAACACTTACAGAAGACCTGATTGTGGTTATCAGCACAACTCTTATAAAACAGTGCATGGGAGATTCCTTTGAACTGAGATGATACAAAATTTATTTAAATATGGCACATACAAAGTCTCCCACATTGAGAAATGCTGTTTTCCAGCCTTGATCCTAATAAAACCTGTGCAGCTGTAGTTACAATGTAGCTTTGAGATTTGAAGCCTTAATTTTCTATTAGATTACTGTGAGCTAATTAATGTCTTGATCCTAATGAAACACTTGAGAGAGATTAATAGCAGTAATGCAAAACCCGTCCCTAAGAATTTTTCTGGATTGGGACATAAATCTTTTGCAAGACTTGACCTGTGCCTGGCAACTCCCACGAAAACGAGCAGCCATTTCAGGTGCTGCCCGTGACAGCACTGGAGTCTGACTGACAGTGATCTTTTCTCACAGCCATGGCACTGTCACCTGCATGCAGTTGTCAGAAAACCCAACACTGGTTTGCCTGTGGGCTTTGTTTCCTCTGAACCCGGTTAACACGAGTGTGTGTGTGTGTGTGTGTAGTGGCAATGCGTGAGGAGGAGATGCAGCAGGCTTGGTAAGCCCATGACATCTTGGACTCTTGTCACTCTAACCCTATAGAAGTGTGGTGCTATCAAACAAGAAAAGCATAAACTTTCTAATCCTATCCATGTACTAGTTTGTTTTTTAAAATCCTGCTGCTTATACAAATTTTCCTCTTCAAGCATACATATACGCACACGGATATTCTTATCAGGCATGTAATTATTAAACCTGAAAACAAATATTCCAACCAAAATCCGGCTTACTTCTTTGCATTAAAGCACAGCCACAGGACAAACAGCCCAGGCCTGCCTTCAGGCAGCCTGCCAGCCCCCAGATATCCTGCTGCAGGCCCACTTCTGCTCTCTCTCTGGAGCACATCACTCAGGTAGTGCTGTGTGATGACAAGGCTCCCCTGTGGCAAACAGCCAGAATCCTCCTGTGGGTCATCCCACCTCACAGCCATTGTGGGAAGAGAAAGGCAGCCCAGAACAAAACTGGGCTATTGCACAGTCTGCCATCCTGCTGCCTGTAACCAACCAAGCATCCTGTAGCCCACCTCTCCTGCAGGACAGCAACGTACCTTCAGCAATGTCAAGACTGAAGTAGGAAATAAAACAAATTATGGAAAAAAATAGCATATGCTTTTAAGTGAGGAAGCAACAGTACTTCCTTTAGAGTCTGGAATGGATTGTATTAGTAAATTTGTAGACAATGGAATAACTGTGCTATGCTTATCTTGGTTTTGTAAAGAATATCGGAGACCAACTGTGTTATAATCTTCTGTTTCATTCAATACCATATGAACTCATGCAAGATTTTCGAATTAGCAGGTCTGTTTTCACCTACCTCAGCTAGAAATGCTACTAGACCCCAAATTTCTTCTTGAGTGTGCTCTTCTATGAACCTAACAGTTGTAATCATAGCATTGGCTTTGAGTATTCCCAGTCAGAGTAGTGTATGGGAATATTGTACATAAATTGCACATAGTTTTTATATGGGGAAACATCCTGTGATAATTTTAATATGGAAGACACCCCACTTTCACTTGTATTAAAAAAGACAGGACATTGTTTCTTTTGGGACAGAACCTCTGTCTTTACTCCCAACTTCTGTAAAGGAAACTCAAATGAATTTACATCTTTCCAATCTTCAACCATTGTTAGATGTTTAAAATTAATTCTGAATGGGTTTTAGAAGTGTTTGCAGTACTCAGTTTTTGTTTTCATAGTTGCTTTGTTGTCAGTTCCTGGTGTATTATATCTTGGGGAGAACATACTGAGTGACATGTTGACTTCTAATGAATATATGGATAGTAGGTAGGAACAGTGAATAGAGAAGCTCAGTTTTTACCGTCTATGCATTCCAACATTCACAAAAGTAGGGTAGCTACCATTATAGTCTCCTTTTAACCTAGCAGAAATGCAAAAAAGTTAAAAGGAATACAGTTAGAAGTAGGCTACCTGCATTAGTAAGTACTATGTTACCCTAGGTAAACACTATAAAAAGTGTTTGCATGTGTTGGTTGTGTACTCAATCAAGGACTTATATTTGGCATGGCCTGTAGCAATAAACCCGTTATCCTCATAGAGTGCACTCTTGTGACTTCAGCTGGATACCTCTTCATAGTTTGATTAACAGAAATAATGCTTAAGTAGTTAAAATTACTCTAGGAAACTAACAACTTCGCACATTAATATTTATGCACAGCATGCAGGGGCCATCTGAACACAAACAGAGCAGAATTTTCCCTTTGCAAAACAGCATTAGGTGGGGAGAGATGGGGCACTCCCACTGCTCTGCTCAGGCTGGAGGCAGTTTCCTTCTCTGCAGGCAACTTCTCCAAGCTCCATCTCATTATAAGCCCAGCAGTTTGCATGTTCTTTATCTATAGTATTTCTTATGCCAGTTTTTGTTTCCTCCAGATCTTTTCTTTACGAGGGAGTCAGCCTTTAGTCCCTGTAGAAACTGTTGCTGACTGTTCAGGGAGAACCCAGAGAGCAGAAGAGTGGAATTGATACCCAAGGGTACCACTTTGCATGCTCTTCTTCCTTTTGTTCCCTCAGAGGATTTCTGCAGCTCTCTAGGGCTCCAAGCTCACCCAAAGTTGCCTGTCATGGGACTCTTCAGCTCTTAGAGGCCAGGTTGTTTCTTATAAGCAGGAGATCAAAGCCTCTTGCACTGGGACCATCCACTATGGTACAGAGCCCACACGAAGTAGCTGTAAATTGACTTAATGTTTAAAAAAACCTACAAAAGCACAAAAGCACAAACAGGCCCTCCCCTTATTAACAAAACAAAGCTTGACTTCTGCACACACCAGTATGGAACCTCTGAACAGCTGCAAAATAAATAGAAGCAGTTGAACTTTCTGTCCTGCAGAGCAACAAAGGACTCTGTTTTCACCTACCCCTGGGAGCCCCAACCGTAGCCTTTTGTAAACCTTCTTCCTGGCTCTTTCCTCTGCAAATTTCCGTTAAGTTTAGGAGCACTGTCAGACTTCCCAAGGCATGCAATGCTGTACAAATTCCACTTCCTCCTTTTCCCTCATCAACTTGAAAAGAGCTCACAAGATCTCTTAGTGAAAGACTTAATGTCAATATAAGCACACATGTAGCTGACAATCCCTTGTTCCTTCTGCTGTGGAAAGCTATGTGCTGTAAAATAAATCTCAGTGAGGACAGTAACATACCCTGATGTATTACATATTTGGAAAGCAATTTGACTTCTAAAAACATAGAGAAGATGGGCAAACAGCGCTGTCACCTCCTATACTTGCCTATGCACTTAAGATACATAGAGGAAAATATATTGGACTGAACAAAATAAGTAAAATAAGCATGAGCTTACATTTATCAGAGTTTAAGAGGAAAAAGTATTAAATGTAATTTATTATATGCATAATGTTCCATCATGTTGTAAATAATGCCATGATAGTGTATTGCTGTAGTTTGTTCTTGGCTGGTGATAGAGTTCTGTGGTAGTGCTGTGTAAGTTGTTTTTTATATTATTTTTTTCCCCTCAAAGCATACATAGTAAAGATGGCAGAGACCACCCCACTCTGGTTTCCCAGTTGTTCTAGAGCAAGAAGAAATGTGAGATGCAGGGTTTTTTTGTTGTTGTTGTTTTCTTACATGACAATATTTCTTAAGGTAAGAGAGATGAGATTAAGGCAAAACTGCCACCACCACTGTATGAAAAACACTGTGTTTGCAACTGCCAACAAGAGCTAGTGCATTTCTGGACCACAATTCAGATCATCCATCCTTGTGAAAAGGGAGGCAAAATTCCACAACCGGGGAACAGCAGCTTTCTGGTGCCATCTAGTACGTCCTTTGGTTACAAACAGAAAGATGAGGAAGGAGAGTTGTTAGACCTTATCTCAGGCTTTACCGGCTTTGCAGCATTCTGCTTTAAGTAGCAAAACCAATAATTCAATTTTGAACCAGGCAAGGTAATATGAAACCACCAAGCATCTTGGCTAGATCAACTTTGGAAGTGAGATTACAGTTACAAATCAACCACATTGCAAATGTAAAGGGCACTTGTCAGTGAAAATTACCAGGCAAAGATGGAGAGTCCTTTTATTTTATTTTTGTTTTTGGGGGGGAGAAAAAGTGAGCTGCTTCTAGTTTTTACTGACAACATTT